GAAGTGAGCACACCATCAGGCAACTCAATTCCTGAGTGTTTGGTGTCATCTCACTCCCCTCTCCTCAGTCAAAACCTCCCTTAAACATTCTCTCTTCCCCTGCCCTCCCAGCCTCACTCTCTGACTACATATCTGATGTTGTGCTTGTTTGCACTTAGAGTTACATTCATAGAGTTGTACAGCATGGAAACAGACCCTTCAGTCCAATTTGTCCATGCTGACCAGATATCCTGAATTAATCTGGTCTCATTTGCCAGCATTTGGCCCATATCCCTGTAAAGCCTTCTGATTCATGTACCCATCGAGATGCCTTTTAAATGTTGTAATTGTACCAGTCTCCACCACTTCCTCTGGTGGCTCATTCCATACACGCACCACCCTCTGTGTGAAAAAGTTGCCCCTTAGATCCCTTTTAAATCTTTACCCTCTCACTTTAAACCTTTGCCCTCTAATTTTTGACTCCCCTTACACTGGGAAAAAGACCTTGGCTATTCATTCTATCCATGCCCCTCGTGATTTTATAAGCCTCTTTAAGGTCATCCCTCAGCCTCGGACGCTCCAGTGAAAATAACTCCTGCCTATTCAGCCCCTCAAACCTGCCAACCCCAGCAACATTCTTGTAAAGCTTTCCTGCACCCTATCAAGATTAACAACATCTTTCCTATAGCAGGGAGAGAATTGAACTGGCTGCCTGTGCAGTTATAAATGGTCAAAATTTGTTCCAAATAGTATGGGACGTTCTTTCTAAAGGAATGCCGGTCAACAATCTGCGACACTCTAGTAATCTGCTTCTAACAAAAACAAAATCAGTAGTGACTCTCTCGACAAACTAGGCCCATGGAAATCAAAGTTCACAAAACGAGAAATAACAACTATGAAGGCAAAGAGAGAAAATTCAAAGTGAAGATGCAATAAAATATAAAAAGGAAAACTTATGAATGGGTTGGAAGGGGTATGTCTCAATAGATGTTTCCAGTTTTGAAGAAACACAAACAGCAGCATAGCTGAAACCTCTTTCCTAAGTATAGAGCTTTCTACTACAGGCGAGTAGTTATAGAGTCAGAGAACTACAGCAGGGAAAAAGGCCCTTTGGCCCATTGTGCCCACCTTGCTCAAAAAACAACCACCTAACTATTCTAATATCCCATTTTCCAGCACTTAGCCCATTGCCTTGTATGCCTTGGCATCACAAATACACATCTAAATACTTAAATATTCTGATGATTTCTGCCTCTCCCACCCTCATAGGCAGTGAGTTCCAGACTCCCACCATCATCATCTGGGTGAAAATGATTTTCTTCACGTCTCCTCAAAAGCTCCTGCCCCTTACCTTGTATCTATCCCTCAGGCACTGATCCCTCCATCAAGGGGAAAAGTTTCTTCCTGTCTACCCTATCTATGCCCCTCATTATTTTATGTATTTCAACCAGGTCCCCTCTCTGTCTCCTCTGCTCTAAGTATATTGTTGAGGTCAATGGTACTGGTGGGAGGGTGCATCAGTGTACGTAACAGTAGCTTAGAGGCAATATCATTAAATGCATAATCCAGAGATCCAGGCTAATATCCAAGGGACACAGGTTCATGGTGATCATGAAACTAATCAGTTGTCATTTAAAAGAAAAAAAATCCAGTTCAATAATGTCTTTTAGGAAAGGAAAGCCAGTCTGGCTCCTGTATAACTTCAGACTGGATCTGAAACATTAACTCTGATTTCTCTCTGCAGATGCTGCCAGTCCTGCTGAGCTTTTCCAGCAGTTTCTGTATTTTCTTGTTTCTGATTTTATTTTGTTTTGTTTTTATTGGGTCTAGCTTTTAACTGTCCTCTGGAATGACTGAATGAGCCGGTCTGCTCAAGGTCAACCTGTGTCCCTAGGATATTAGCCTGGGTCTCTGCATTACGCATTCAATGATATTGCCTCTAAGCCACTGTTACATGCACTGATGTACACTCCCAACAATACCATTGACCTCAACAATATACTTAGACCGGAGGATGGACAACAAAAGTTGATCTTGCCAGTGATGTTCACATCCTGTTGAGTAAAAACTAAAATAGTAAAGCTGTGATTCCACATGAGGCTGTGTTGATGAAATCAGAACACAGTTACTGAAGAAAGAGCAGCAATAGACTATCACCCATTAAACATAAACAGAAATTGCTGGAAAAACTCAGTAGTTCTGGCAGCATCTGTGGAGGCAAAACTGTATTCTGAAGGAGGGTCACTGGTCCCAAAACATTAATTTCTGCTTTCTCTCCATAGATGCTGCTGGACCTGCAGAGTTTCTCCAGCAATTTCTGCTTTCTGTTTCTGATTTCCAGCATCCATAGTTCTTTTGGTTTTTTGTTTACTTGACTCACTTCCTGCCTGCTCCCCAACTCTCAATTCTCCGAAATCAAAAACTTGCCTATTCAGTCTTAAAATGTGGGATGGAGCATTAACAACCCTCCGAGTTAGAGAATGCCAAAGATTCTCAGCTCCCTGAGTAAGGAAACATCTTCTCATCTCAATTGTAAACATTACATCCACTGATAACATAATGTGGAGCTGGAGGAACACAGCAGGCCAGGCAGCATCAGAGGAGCAGGAAAGTTGACGTTTCGGGTCAGGATCGTTCTTCAGAAGCTCCTCTGATGCTGCCTGGCCTGCTGTGTTCCTCCAGCTTCACACTATGTTATCTGACTCCAGCATCGGCAGTTCTTGCTATCTCTGATTTCATCCACTTATCCTGATCTTGTGCTCCATGTTCCAAAGTTCCCAGCAAGAGGGGAAACAACCACTCAGTTTCTAACCAGTTAAGCTTTTTTCACAATCCTGGGGATTACAGTGAGATCACTTCTCATTCTTCTGAGCTCCAGAGAACACAAGTCCAATTGACTCAGTCTCAAATCACAGAACATTCCTCTTAATCCAGAAACTAATCTAGTGAACCTTCACTGTAACATCTCCAGTACAAGTACATCCTTGATAGAATACGGCACACGTTGGACATTGCTGAGGAACAGAAATGTCCTGCGGGCTCTTTCTGTGCTGTGAATGCAGTGGAACCACATGAAACACAAACACGATAAACAAAAGACCATGAGACGGCAGAGGGAGGGAGAGAGAGAGAGAGAGTGGGGGAGAGAGGGAAAACAGGAGGATGGGGGAACTGGCTCACCCTGAAGTTTACTCGATTCCGAACTCTCTGGGCTAAGGCGTTGTTGATTGCTTTGTCAAACTGTAGTAGGACCTGCAGAGCCAGCTGAGGGGTGATCTGCTGGGACTGGGGGAAGCAACATACAGTTTATGAGCACCAGAATAATTAGAGTAACAATACTGTCCCAGCAAAAACGTGAGAAGTTGGGGGTGGGGGAAGAGATTGAGAGATCAAGAGGTGGGAGAGATTATTTGGGGGCTGAAGGTGGAACAGAGGGTGGTAGTGGGGTGACAATAGCTTTGGGACACTGCTCAGAGAAGAAAGGGAGGGAGACTCAGGCAGGAAGGTGCCAGAAAGAATCAAGGGTCAGAGGAAAGGGGAAAGAGGGAGTCAGAGCAGATGGGGAGGGGCAGAATTAGAGGGAATGGGGGTTTCAGTGGGGAGGGCGAGGTCGGGGGGTATGGTGGAGAAGGTGGGGGGGGGGGG